TGAGCCCGTGGGTTCGAGACCCACTTGGGCGGCGAGACCTCATCTCTACAATAAATCAAAAAATCAGCCAGGCGTGGTAGTGCATGCCTATAATTCCTTAGAATTATACTTAGAAGGCTACTTAGAAGGCTGGGGCAGAAGGATCGCCAGAGCCCAGCAGGTCGAGGCTGTGGTGGCTGGGAGCGGTCACTGCACTCCAGTCTGGGCGACAGAGTGAGACTCCAACTCAAAAAAAAAAAAAGTAGAAAGAAGTAAAGTTTATTATTCACCTTTCACAGACTGGAAAGGGGGCCAACACTCAGAGACCATTGTGGCCTCAAAGGGCCACCTAATGGGTATATTTAAAGGCTTTTGGGTAGGGGGATTTTGGTCCAGAGATTTTGAGCTCACCAGATATTAGCATCTTATACCCTCAGGTAGTGGGTGAAGGTGGTGCTTCCTAGCAAGAAAGGCTGAAGCAATGCAGGCTCCATTCGCCGTAGCTCATCTTTCACAGATTGGAAAGGGGGCTGACATTCAGGCAAGTGTGACCTGGATAGGCCACGAAATGGGTATATTTAAGGGCTTTTGAAGAGGAGAGAGAGCAGCAGTGGAAGGGGAGAATGAGAGAGGAGAGAGTAGAGTATCTCAGTGAGACCTCCAAAAATGTTAGGGACATACTCTCCCAGGGGGGCCTCCAGGCCCGCTGGGGGTGTGGGTGTCTGGGGTGCAATCCGATGCCACATGAAAGATACAAAGAATTGCACAGAAGTTAGATTAGAAAATATAGTTTATTTAAAAGTAAATTAGGGAAAGAGAAGATTCACCTCCCCGAGGTAGGGGAGGGGGCCAAAGTCAGGAAGCATGGCAACCGCTATAGCTCAAGGAGAACAGGGCCATACCAGAGTCTAGCAAAGTAATTACTGAGAACGTCTTTATCTTTGAAGAATATTTTCTCTGGATATAGAATTCTGGATTGACAGTTCTTTAATTTCAGTCTTTAAAAATTATTTTTCTATTCCTTGCTGGCCTTAGTAATTTCTGATGAGAAATCCACAGTCAGTTGAATCATTTTTACCCTATGATGTGTCATTTTTCTCTGGCTGTTTTTAAGCATTTTTTTCTTTCGGTTTAATTTTAAGCAGTTTGGTCTTGAAGTGTTTGGAGTGAAGTCAATCTGTTGTTTTACCTCTTTCACAATATTTGAGCAGTTTTAGTCATTTTTCAAAAATTTTTTCTGTCCTAAACTTTTTCCTTTCCTTTTTTATTACTCTAATGACACAAATTTAGACTTTCTGTGTCAGAATTTAGATTTATTGTCCCACTGGTATCTGGAGTCTGTGTTCATTTATAAAAATTTTCTGTTTTCAGATTGGGTACTTTCTATAAATTTATCTTCAAAGTGTACTGACTCTTTGATTTAACATTTCCATTCTTCTATTGACCTTAACCAGTGAAACTTAAAACATCTGTTATTGTATTTTTCACTTCTGAAATTTCCATTTATTTCTTTATGTCTCCTATTTCTTTACTGGGACTTTATATCTTTTTATACCTTTCTAGGGTGTTCACCTTCACTTCTTGGAGCATTTTTATAGTAGCTACTTTGTAAAATCTTTGTCTAATGAATTCTTAAACTGTGTGATCTTGGTATTTACATCTGTTTATTGTGCTTTCACATGCAAATTGAGATTATTCTGGTTCTTTGTATGTTTGGTAATTTTGGATTATATGTCTGACATTTTAAAAAAATATGTTTTGAGACTTGAGTCTTAATTAAGTTATATGGAAAAGGTTGTTTTTTGTGTTATCCACTCAGTTGAGTTCAGGTTGCAAGTTTTACTAGCCTTTCATGTGTTTTGGTTTTCATATTAGTTCAGTTTTCAAAGCCTTTGCAGTCATACATCTGTCCGGTTGTACATCAAGTGGCTTGTCAGACCTGAATCTTGAGTTGAAGCCTTAGTTCAGGTTCCAAAGTCAGTGTTGTGCTGTTTATTGTTAGATCTTTTAGTGGTGTGAAGATTGATCAGTGACTTTAGGTAGTATCAGTCTAATCTATTCATTTTAAGTTCTGTGTCAACCACCCTTTCACCTAAGAGTTTTAGCAGCTATTGGTAATCATTGCCTAGATTATTTCATTAGATGAAGCAAAATGGTGAATTTTTAATTCTGTTAGCCATCAACTATTTAGTTTACTTGAAATACAGTTAATTCAGGAAAGGTAGGATAAATGTTTGATTTATTTTCCTTTTATTTATATTCATTGCCATGAATTGGTGTCTTAGCAATCATTTATATCTAATAAGTATTTTTTGTGAACTCATGGATTTTTGTGTGTTTGATATGTTTCATTTCAATGCAATCATTATTCTTTTTTGATGCTCAAATTTTTCTACCTTAAACCAATATTAACCTCTTCCAGTTGTCTTCTGTGTCCTTTTGACTTGCTTACATTATCCTGGACAAAGCTACCTACTGTGAAGAGAATGAAGCTTATACTTCAGGGGTTTTTATTTGCATAGGCAACTGGTCATATGATTTTGTAAAATTTACAAAATTAACACTTTTAAGAAGATGGACAGGTGGGTATTTTTTTTTTTGAGTAGGAGTCTCACTCTGTCACCCAGGCTGGAGTGCAGTAGCCTGCTCATGGCCACTGCAGCCTTGGTCCGTTGGGCTCAGGCTATCCTTCCGCCTCAGCCTTCTAAGTTGCTGGAACTATAGGCCTGCAACACCACGTCCAGCTAATTTTTGTTATTTATCGTAGAGACACAATCTTACCAAGTTGCCCAGGCTGTTCTCAAACCCCTGGGCTCAGGCCATCCTCTCACCTATACCTCCCAAAGTGCGGGGATTATAGGCATGAGCTACCACATCTGGCCAGAAACAAACTGCTGATCTTACATTGGATTTGGGGAATTGTGGAGTTCAGGAATTGGTAAAGCAGGGGTATTTAGGAAATGATTGACTTTTTTAATGCAAATGTGGGTATAAAGTGTGACTGTTATTGACTGGTTGACTTTCTGAAGTGTGATCACTCATTTGAAGTAATCATTGATCACCTGGAATGGGTTTAACACTATTTCTGATGATTACTTGTTGCTATGGCCTTTTCTTAAATTTACATTTATCATTTTACATGGTTACAAAATCAAGACTAAATGACAAGATGTATTTACAGAAGTCTGGCTTTCATTTTTACCCCTTCATCCTCCTTTTTGCTCTTTGTTGAGTAAATGTTGGTAATCAACAGTCTGTAGGCCAAATTGACCAGCCACCTTTTTGTGTGTGAATAAAGTTTTGCTGGAACACAGCCACACTTTTTCATGTCGTCTGTGACTTTTGTGCTGCAATGGCAGAATTGAGTAGCTATGACAGAGAATATACTATATGGCCTACAAAGTCTTTACTAAACCTATTTACTTTTTACATTCAGAACCTTTATTTAAAAAGCTTGCTGATCTCTGCTATAGAGAATAATTTTTATCACTTTTTGACTTATGTCTCTTTTTTGTACTTTCCTTTTTATTTTATCTTATTTTTTTGAGTTGAGATCTCTATCACTGTGGAGGGCAGCGGCACTATCACAGTTCACCACAATCTCTACCTCATGGGCGTAGACGATCTTTCCATCTCAGCCTCTTAAGTAGCTGGGATTACAGGCACGTGCCACCACGCCTGGTTAATTTTTTTTTTTGGTACTGTGTAGAGAAGAGATCTTGCTAAGTTGCCTAAACTGGTCTCGCCTTCCTGGGTTCAAGCAGTCCTCCCACCTTAATCTCCCAAAGTGCTGAGATTACAATCCTGAGCCACCATGCCTGGTCTTTCTTTTCTTTTCTTTTTTTTGAGTAGGAGTATCACTCTGTCACCCAGGCTGGAGTGCAGTGGCACCCTCATGGCCACTGCAGCCTCACTGCTGGGCTCAGGTGATCCTTCTGCTTTAGCCTTCCGAATAGCTGTAACTACAGACACAAAATTTTTTGATTTATTGTGGAGACAAAGTATTGCCAAGTTGCCCAGGCTGGTCTTGAACCCCTGGGATCAGGCAATCTTCTTGCCTCCACTTCCCAAAGTGCTGAGATTACAGGCATGATTCACTGTGCCCGGCCTCCTTTCTTTTCTTAAAAATACAAGTAAATACTTAAATGTAGTCAATGTTTATCTCACTTTTGCACAAAAGATAGCATACTGTGAATCATTTACTGCATCTTCTTTTTTCTCACTGAACAAGGTATCCTGAAAATCACTTTGTATCAGTATATCTCTCATTCATGGATTAGGTTACAGTTTGCACCTCATAGTATTAGCTCTAATGGTGTTAAGCTCTAAGTTACAGCCTATTAAATTGTAAACTATTGTAAATTAGGTACCAGCAGGCCGGTGGCTCATGCCTATAGTCCCAGCACTTTGGGAGGCTGAGGTGAGAGGATTGCCTCAGTTTGCGAGTTTGAGACCAGCCTGAGCAACTTGGTGAGACCTCATCTCTACAATAAAATCAAAAAATTAGTCAGGCATGGTGGCGCGTGCCTGTAGTTCTAGCTACTTGGAAGGCTGAAGCGGAAGAATTGCTTGAGCCCAACAGGCTGAGACTGTGGTGGCCGTGAGCATGCCACTGCATTCCAGCCTGGGCTACAGTGATACTCAACTCAAAAAAAAAAAAAAAAAAATTAGGTACTGTGTCTTTTTCTTCAGCAGTGTGTTATACTCTGGTTAGTGGTCTGCCTAGGTTAAGTGCCATTGACATCATGATTTCCCTATAGTCTACCAATCTCAGTTATTATAAATAATATCTTTGTGTAACCATGTTTCCATAATATCTGTTTCACTGGGCATCTTTATTGAAAAGATATGTACTTGTAAAATATGCATTAAACATTTTTTGGAACTGAATTTGTGGTTTCCTTACCCCCTTTCCAACAAACCAACCTAATTAATATATAGTATTAGTAGTGCTTCTTGGTACTGGAGTGTTATTTGTGTTAGTTATCTCTAATTTGCTGTTACTATTTCTTTTGTTTTAGGTTAAATGGAAACCACCCTTGGGAACTGGATGCTTGTGTAGCTATTCTACCTTATCAGTGTATTGCAATGAGTGGTGGTGGAGAACAGCCAGATATCCTGAGTGTTGGAATCCTGGTGAAAGAAAGATGGAAAGTGGTGAGTGAACATCTCAAAGTGTGTGTATGTGTGTATATTTATGGGGAGTAATTTTTGGTATCCCAATAAAAATAGCATTTCATATAAGCAATATATGACTAAATCAGTTACCTTCAGTTATTTTTCTATAATTCAGTTCTTTTTATACCCTAATTCTTTTTTTTCTTTTTTTTTTTGAGTTGGAGTCTCACTCTATCGCCTAGGCTGGAGCTGGAGTGCAGTGGCACGCTCACGGCCACGGCCACTGCAGCCTCGACCTGCTGGGCTTAGGGAGTCCTTCCACCTCAGCCTTCCAAGTAGCTGGAACTATGGGCATGTACTACCATGCCCCGCTTATTTTTGATTTATTGTGGGGACGAGGCCTCACCAAGTTTCCCCGGCTGATCTTGAATTCCTGGGCTCAGGCAGTTCTCTCACCTCAGCCTCCCAAAGTGCTGGGCTTACAGGCTGAGCCACTGTGCCGGCCTATACCCTAATTCTTATTCCTCGTATAGTGCCAAATTTTCTTAACTTCCAATAGTTCATATTCAGTACAGTAAATAAAATTATATTTAGGGAAAGAACAAATGAAAAAAGATATGATGTTTGAAAGTAAAACAAACTACTCTTTGTTTTTTGTTAACTTTTTATGAAGAAAAATTGTGGTTTTATATAAAAACAGAGACTGTATTCATGACCTACCTTAAAATAGTCATCAATTTATGGCTTTTTTTTTTTGAGTTGGAGTCTTACTCTGTTGCCCAGACTGGAGTGCAGTGGCACGCTCACGGCACTGCAGACTCGATCTGCTGGGCTCAAATGATTCTTCTGCCTTAGCCTTCCAAGTAGCTGGAACTGCAGGTGTGTGCCACCATGTCTGGCTAAATTTTCTTGATTTATTGTAGAAACAAGGTCTCACCAAGTTGCCCGGGCTGGTCTCGAACTCCTGGGCTCAGGCAGTCCTCTCGCCTCAGCCTCCCAAAGTGCTAGACTATAGGCATGAGCCACCGCACCTGGCCTGTGGTTTAATCTTGTTTCATTTCTTTCATCTTTCTTCCAGAATCATTTGAAGCATTATTTAACCTAAGTATTTCTTTTGTTTGTACTTCAGTATGTATCTCTAAAAAAACAAGGATTTATTTTTTAAAACATAATTATAATACCATTGTCATACCTAAAAATGTAATAATTTCTTAATATCACTAAATGTCCTTTTAGTTTCCACATTTTCCTGATTGTAAAGTATTTTAATAGTTTGAGTCAAGATGCAGATAAAGTCTGGATATTGCAATTAGTTGTCATCACTTAAGTTTCTTTTGATTTGTAGGTTCCTCTTTATCATTCTTTTTTTTCCTTACAATTTATTTTGTCAGGAAAGTAGGTGGTTTGTCTGTAGAATTTCCAGTGGTTTGGATTTTGCTGATTGCTTTCATGTCATGTTAACATGTTTCTCTGTCTCATATAGTTTATGTAAATGGTAGTTATATCTAGAGGCTTAGTCGGATCTGAATTAGGTTTGTTTTTTTGAGATGGAGGCATTCCTTTTTATAAATGATATGGTGAGCGTTCACTAGGAGGCATATAATGTCTTCTTATTCATCTTTTTTGTGGTGTTAGCAGCTATTGATTATCATTGCCTAGGCCTATTAATTCATTAGGGACTGCAAATTGGTGATATTTTATCATTCTTTCATGTACTAGTTGATAGCTCCAGCTATCCTTACATTTCAGCCTTTCAAGTAGCTGGAACTACAGGCACATGCTACCATACCCAGCTAATTTTTTTGATTTATTGTAGAGTTGAGGTCTCGCCAAGTTGCCCAGGCTGATCTTGAACTCTTGGACTCAGGCAGTCTGCTCATCTTGGCCTCCCAAAGTGCTAGGATTACAGGCTTGAGACACCACACCCAGCCTTCAAGTTGTTTTGTTGAGACAACTTGAGTTCTTTTGCTAGGATCTTACTAGTCTTTCAGTGGCTTGCTTTCTTTTCTTTTCTTTTCTTTTTTTTTTTTTTTGCAGTTTTTATGGTTTTATTTAAACACAAAACGTGCACATGAGCTGTCTGTTCATTTTCTTCACTGTGCAGCCTGGCATTAAGATTGGTGACTCTGTTTTGTTTAGTTTTTTTTTTGAGTTGGAGTCTCACTCTGTCGCCCAGACTGGAGTGCAGTGGCTGCTCCCGGCCACCGCAGCCTCGACCTGCTGGGCTCTGGCGATCCTTCCGCCTCAGCCTTCCAAGTAGCTGGAATTACAGGCATGCGCTACCACGCCCAGCTGATTTTTTTGATTTGTTGTAGAGATGAGGTCTCGCTGCCCAGGCGGGTCTCGAACCCGCGGGCTCAGGCAATCCACTCACTTCAGCCTCACAAAGGTGCGGGATTACAGGCTGAGCCACTGAGCCCGGCGAGGATTGGTGACTCTGATGGCCAACTGGGCTGCTCTTTCTACAATGGCTTTGCGGTTCTTGGAGGAAATGTTGTGAGCAATCTCTGCACAATAAGATTTGTTGTACAGCAGCAGCACTTCTAGCTCCTTGACATTATGGACCAGGAACTTCCAGAAGCCACGAGGCAGCATGTGCTTTGTTTTCTTGTTGCTCCTGTAACCAATGTTGGGCATCAAGATCTGGCCCTTGAATCTTCTACGCACCTGTTGTCAATACATCTGGGCTTCCGCCAGTGACGCTTAATTTTGACATATTGGTCTGACTGGTGCTGGACGAACTTCTTGGTCCTCTTTTTGATGATCTTGGGTTTCACCAGGGATCTGAGGGCAGCTATGATGCCGAGTAGGAGATGGCAGCCACCTCGGTAGGCAGCCCCAAGGAAGAGCAACTGTCTTTCTTTAGATCTAGATCTGCCATCACTCTAAGACTGCTTATTTCTTAGAGGAACTTTTTTGTTTTGGATATATTTAAATTTTTTTTTATTGCCACCTACCTAGTCTTTTGTCATCCAAGGTTTTGTTCCATTAGTTGGTTCTCAAAGCTATTTTAGTGGTTTCCTTAATTTATCAACAGATGGAAAAAGAAGCTCTTCCTTTAGAAATACAAATTTTATTTTTATGATACAGTATATTTTACTGGTTAGGCAAATCAGTAGACTTTGCAAATTTACTTGACTAAATATAAGAAAAGAATCATGTCATCATCATGGACTGGTGCAGAGAGATTCTAACAGTTGTTAATCTGTTCCATAAATCAGACATGAGTGTTGCTTTGGTGAGAGCATTGTACTAACTACTATGATAAGGATGGGCTGTTCTTCAGTGCACGTATCAAAAGGTGACAAATGAAGCTCTCCCTGGCATGGTTCCCATGTCCATGTCCTGATAATTAGAGCTCATAAATTTGTGGAATTTGTCTCCAAAATTTGAAAAGCATGGTGACATTTTTTTTTTTTGCTTTATTTTATTATAGAGATGTAGGGTACGAGTAAGAATTAAATACATAAATACATAAAAGTAATCTGCGTGCTGGTGAAGTTTGGGCCTCCAACCGGTCCTCACTTCCCCTGGTTTAGGACCAGGTATCCCTTTACGTTGCCACATCCCTTCCACCCCCCACAGTGGCATTTTTATAAGAAATCACATGCTTATTGTTAAGGATGGTGTTTTAGTTACTTATTATTTTGTAGCAAACTGCATAAAAACTTAGAGACAAAGTAATCATTTTATTTTGCTCACAGTTTTCTGGATTAGGAATTTGGGAAGAGTTTGGGTGATTTGTCTCTTAGCCATGTTACACTAACAGGTTTGGTTGGGTCTACTTGAAAATGGCTTCTTCACTCATTTGTCTGGTACATTGGGGTTCTTTAGCTTTCTACTCCCAACCCCAACCTGACAGCTCATTTTCTAGGATGTTTCCACATAACTATGGCTTCTCAGGGTGGTCACACTTCGTATATAGTAGCTGGCTTTCAAGAGACAGGGAATGGAAGCTACATGATCATCTTTACATTGAAGAGGAGCAAGGATGAATGATAATACTGTGACTATCTTTGGAAAATACAGTCTCCACTAGCCTTACCTCTTTTCTTTCTGTAATCTGTGTGCCTCAAAACTGTCTCTTTGCCTCATAAACATATGTCTTAGGTCTTTGCCAAGCTGATAAAAAGTGAATGCTCTATTAATGTTCAAATGGCATTACAGGAATAAACTAAGGAGTAAAAACATTTACTTCTGTGAGGTTAAACTTGAAGCTACTCTCACCAGTCCATAATTAGAAGGATATCTCTTTGATGTTGTGAATCATAAGTACCAATCAGGGTCTACTGAAGAGCAATTGTTTTTTTTTTTGAGTAGCAGTTTCACTTTGTCCCCGAGGCTGGAGTATAGTCGCAAACTCATGGCCACCGCAGCCTTGGTCCATGGGGCTCAGGTGATCCTTCTGCCTCAGCCTTCCAAGTATCTGGAACCACAGGTGTGCACTGCCATGCCCTGCTAATTTTTTATTTATTGTAGAGATGAGGTCTCACCAAGTTGCCCAGGCTGGTCTTGAGCACCTGGGTTCAGGCAATCCTCTTGCCTCTGCCTCTCAAAGTGCTTGGATTGCAGGTGTAAGCCACCGTGCCTGGCTGAGCAATTTATTTAACTGAATGTTTCTGGAACTTTAAAAAAAATCCCAAGCTCATCCTATAGTCTCACATAGTATACCTTTCCTATAATGAAATGAAAGTAAAGAAGGATTATGGCTCATATTTACAGAGCTGTACATAACTATTAAAAAATTATGTAGTTAACACTTTGCCAAATGTCATTGGAGATACAAAGAAATAGAACAAACAGCTCTCTCTTTGAAGAAGCTTAGTTTCTTTCTCTGTATTGGAGTAGGACATTGACAATGGAAAGTTAGGCAATATAACAGATTAAAAAGCAGGGTAATAATACACATGATATCCGAAGTCTGGCCTGGTAAAATGTTTAATTAAGTGATTAGAAAAATCATTACCATAGAAATCCAAAGAAATCGACCATGATACTATAATCAGTGAGCTTCCAGTGGAAAAAGAAGTAGACCATAATCCAGGACCTTTAGGATTTAGGACCCTGCGTCTGTGATGACTTCCTATATTATATCAAATCCTAGATGTTTGCTAATTAATAAAGAGATATCCAGGAAATGGAAGAAGGCTAATTACTTGCTATATCTAGCTTGAAGTATACCACCCAGTACCCCCAACTGAGTTTTTCAGAGTCCTACCGTTGTCACTAGCTCTTCAGAACTTGCTCTGATACTCAGACTGAGATTCTGATGCTCCCCAGTTAAGCTAACACATTTCATCAGGAAGATGATTAAGTGTTTGACAAACATGCTTAAATTGATTAGAGTTTATTTTTATTTATTTGTTTTTTTGAGTTCTAGTCTTACTCTGTCACCCAGACTGGAGTGCAGTGGCCGCTCCCGGCTGCCACTGCAGCCTTGACCTGCTGGGCTTCGCGATCCTTCCGCCTCAGCCTTCCAAGTAGCCAGAATTACAGGCGTGCACTACCACATCCGGCTAATTTTTGATTTATTGTAGAGATGAGGTCTCACCAAGTTGCCCAGGTGGGTCTCGAACCTGCGGGCTCAGGCAATCCACTCACCTCAGCCTCCCAAAGCGCAGGATTACAGGCTGAGCCACCGAGCCCGGCTTATTTTTATTTTAATATGTAGAAATATAATGAATTCTGGGATAGTTTAATACAAAGAGCTCTTTTCCTGCTCTGCGAAGTATATTAGGTACCTCAGAGAGAAAGGTAAGTGGTAGTTAGAGGGCTAGGTGCTCTCCCACCCCCATTTCCAACCTTCCCATACACATACGCCAGATTGATTCCAGACAAGATCTCAACTGGCAAAAGGATGTCATGGCTTAAAAAGTCTACAACCAGGCATGATGGCTCATGCCTATAAGGCCGAGGCAAGGGAATTGCTTGAGCCCAGGAGCTTGAGACCAGCCTGGGTAACAAAGTGAGATATTGTCTCTGCAAAAAATAAAAAAATTAGCCAGGTGTGGTGGCATGCACCTGTAGTCCCAGTCAATTGGGAGGCTGAGGCACCTGTAGTCCCAGTCAATTGGGAGGCTGAGGCAGAAGGATCACCTGAGCCCAGGAAGTCGAGGCTGTGGTGAGCCAGTTGTACCACGGCACTCCAGCCTGGCAACAGAGTGAGACCCCAACTCAAAACAAAGCAAAACAAAAGTCTGCAAATGACTGCATTAGCAGTGAGAAATGATTCTTTCAGATGCTGTATTTTTTGTGACATTTCTGATGCCAGCTAGAGACCAAATTTTAAAATTGTGACTGAAATAGTATTATTACTTTTTTTGTGGACAAACCTGTAGGAAAAGGTTTTGATGTTATTTTCGGGCACTTGTTTTCTTCTTGCCATATTCATAGCTAGTTTAACAATATTGAAATATTTTTTCAAAGATAGAGATATTAAAACTATATTTTATTTTCTAAATATAAGAGATTAATTGTTTCAAATTAGAAACTTTTAGTAATTTTGAGTGTGTGTGTTCTTATTTTATTTTCTGTGCAGATGAGAAAGATTGGGGGTGGGGGCTTTGGAGAAATTTACGATGCCTTGGACATGCTCACCAGGGAAAATGTTGCACTGAAGGTAGAATCAGCTCAACAACCGAAACAAGTTCTGAAAATGGAGGTTGCTGTTTTGAAAAAACTGCAAGGTAAGCTACTTTGTATGATATACAATTTATAATTTGTATGATAACAATTTATAATTTATTCTTACCTTTCTGAACCTTGATTACATTCTCTAAGTATTGAATATTCTGATGTCAGCTAGGTATAAATATGCTGAGCATTTTTCTCTTGGAAATTTTATCACAGTTAGTAGTAGTAGAAATGTATGATTGCTTAGAATAATTGGACTGTAGGAGTTCCTATTCATGATGAGTACAGATGAGATACTAATTAGCAGAAACATTCTACTGCTTTAGAAAGTATTGTTTTAAGTCTGCTATTTGACTTTTTAAAAAAAACATCGAATTATAAATACCTGTGAGTCATTTCTACTCATGTTTTTCGATGTTAAACATACTTTTATCATAGTAAGAGCCAAGTGCAATGGTCATGTCTATAATTCCACTACTCAGGAGGCTGAGGTAGGAGGACTACTTTAGTCCAGGAGTTCAAAACTTCAATGAGCTATGATCACATCACTACACTCTGGCCTGGGTGACAGAGTGAGAGCCTGTCTCTAAGAAATTTTTTTAAAAAATCACGGTAAAGAAACTGCTTTCAAATTATACTGCAGGATGAGTTAAAAATAATACTATTTGTTATGTGTTGATTCTCATTAACTTTAGTTTCAGAAAATGACTCTTTATAGCCCTATTATCTTTTTTGAAGTTCATTTTACTACACAGGGACCTATTTTTTTTTACTACAAGAATGAGAATAATTTTTTTTCTGACATGAATCCAGTAATTTAATGCCCTGAATACATTGCTAGTTTTTTCATCTTTATATTCTTTAATGACATACTCTAATATTACTGATATTTGAATGTTTGATTTGAAATAAAATTAAATAGAGATGATTGTTGTCCTTTACCCTAAGCTTTTCAATTATCCATCCAAGTTCCTCTACCAGGTGGCTCGTTTGATTAGAGCATGAGGCTAATGAACTTATAGCTCTGTTTAATAATCACTTTTATCATTTCTACAACATCATAAATCAAGAAAGCAGTGGATAGATCGGCACCCATTGATACCACTAGAAAAACACCTAATTGAAGAAGGAAGAGTAGAAAAAAGGATAGCTCTTTTTTTTTTTCCTGACCTCTTCTGCTTTCTCCCCATTTCTCTTGAGTTGTTTTCATCTCAGTGATATAAAAGCCACAGATAGGTGCAGCCAGAACTACTACTTCTTGGGTTACACAGATCCCAGGGTTTCTGTTTTATTCTCAGCCAAGCTTATGAAGAGCATGTCAGCATCAGTTTAGGATGACAGTACCACATTCACCTATCTTTATTCTACTTGGCCTCAAAGAGATGCTTCCGGTGAGGCAGGATACAACTCTGCAGACCCTTCAGGAAGTTTTTCTTCCTATTTTGGCCATGACTTACTCAGGAATCTATGTAATAAAGCTTGAAGATCAGTTTAATACCTTTTATGAATGAATTAGAGACCCTTGGTTGCTAGCTCTTTCCTTTTTTATTTTTCACATTATTACCTAAAATGTTTTCCCACTTTCTCAGTCACATGATACCCCATTCCTATGAACCCTTCACTTTTCAAAAATAAATATGTTTTTAATCTTCTGGTCTATATTTCTTTCTTTTTTTTGAGTTGGTGTCTCACTCTGCTGCCCATGCTAGAGTACAGTGGCACGCTTACTGCCGCTGCAGCCTTGACATGCTGGTCTCAAGCGATCCTTCTATCTCAGCCTTCCAAATAGCTGGAACTACAGGTGCGTGCTGCCAGGCCTGGCTAATTTTTTGATTTGTTGTAGAGATGAGGTCTCACCAAGTTGCCCAGTCTGGTCTCGAACCCTCAGCTCAGGCAATCCTCTCACTTCAGCCTCTCAAAGTGCTGGGATTACTGACGTGAGCCACCATGCCCCAACTTGGTCTATGCTTGATGTAGTAGTCCTTGACGCTCTTCTCTTGGCTTCTTAACTTATACCTTCTGCATACTTGTGCCTCACAGCTTCTTTTTGTTGAGGGTGTAATCTGGGCCATTTTGAGAACATTTTTATGGGACTGAGCTACTCTTGCCTTCCTGTTGGCATAGTGATTTCTTACAGAATGATTCCAATGAAAAGGCTAAGTATGTAAGAAAATATAACCAGAGGAAAACCCTTTATAGGATTGGTTGGTTTTAAATTGATGTTCAATTTTTGATAGCTGTAAAGAATTGTTTCTTCACAAAATAAAAAGATATTTTATGATGAATTTAACCTGACCCCTAGTTATGCTCTTTTTAATAAATCAGTCTGTCTTCTCAAAATTCACATAATGTCTTTTCTCAATTTTCTTTCTTGAGGTCTTTCCTGTACCTAATAACTATAGGTTTCCTCAGCTCAGGCAAAACTCTTATTATGGATATCTTCCTTTCTCATTGGCCCTAAAGTGTGAAGGCCTTAGCATTTTACCCATATTTTCTTCTGAGTGACCTTCCTTTTTTATATCAGATTACTCTCTTTTCAGAGCTGTCTGAAATATTTTTGATGCAACCTATACTTCTCTATTGAATCAAGCTAGATTCTTGAATACTTAGTTTTTAGAAATATATTTGAATGTTTTAGTAACTTGTAAACTAAACCATCTATTTATAGGCCTATTAGGTAGTACTTCTGCATTCAGTTATTATTCTCTAATGTGTCGCTAATAAGTAGAGCTATACAACTTATTAAGCCTATCCTTTTATTTATGTCATTGTTCAGAGATACCCATTTATTTGTGTCTCATTATTATACTATCTTCATCTTTTGTTTTTCTTTTTTTGGGGGGGGGGGTTGGAGTCTTGCTCTGTCGCCCAGACTGGAGTGCAGTGGCATGCTCCTGGCCACCGCAGCCTCGACCTGCTGGGCTCTAGCGATCTTTCCGCCTCAGCCTTCCAAGTAGCCGGAACTACAGGTGTGCGCTACCATGCCTGGCTAGTTTTTTTTTTTTTTAATTTATTGTAACGACGAGGTCTTGCCAAGTTGCCCGGGTGGGTCTCGAACCCGCGGGCTCAGGCAATCCATTTGCCTCAGCCTCCCAAAGTGTTGGTATTACAGGCTGAGCCACCGAGCTTGGCCCATCCTTTGTTTTTCAATGTATTTGCTTTGAAACTGTGCAAAGGTGATAATTGCTGCTTTAGTCTGCTGGATTCTTTTTTTCTCCAAATGTTTTATAGAGCTACCCTACCACTCTTCACTTCTCCGTTTTCTTTCTTTTTAATTAGAAAAAAATTGTTTTGAGGGTCAGGTATGATGATTCACACCTGTAATTCCAATACTTTAGGAGGCCTAGGTGGGTGGATCACTTAAGCCTAGGTGTGAGCTGCCTGAGCAACATAATGAGACCATGTCATTACAAAATATTTTTTAAAAAATTAGGCAGGCATGGTGTTGTGTACCTGTAATCTCAGGAGGCTGAGGCAAGAGGATCACTTGACCCCAGGATTTTGAGGTTGCAGTGAGCTATGATTGCACCACTGCATTCCAGTCTGGGAAATGGAATAAATTCTGTCTCTCAAAAAATTAAATTAAATAAATAGTTTTTGTTATTTTTCTCTCTGTTTTCATTGTCTCTTGAGTTCTATCTCAGTATACCACTCTTTTCTTTCTAGTTATTTATTTATTTATTTTGAATTGGAGTCTCACTGTGTCACCTAGCTGGAGTACAGCGGCATGCTCATGGCCACTGCAGCCTGACCTGCTGGGCTTAGGCGATCCTTCCGCTTCAGCCTTCCAAGTACCTGGAACTACAGGCATGTGCTACCACACTTGGCTAGTTTTTTGATTTATTGTGGAGATGAGGTCTCACCAAGTTGCCTAGGCTGGTCTCGAACCCCTGGGCACAGGCAGTCCACTCGCATTGGCTTCCCAAAGTGCTGGGATTACAGACTTGAGCCAAGGCGCCCGGCCTTTTCCTTTCTTTTTAATAAGTACAGTTTTATTTGTAGTGCTGTTGTAAGAGAAAAAAATTTCTGGCCCTTGATTTTAAATCTGATCTCTAGTGATTCCATAGTATCTCAGAAACTAACAGTACTTTTTAGTTCCATCCTAGTCTTAACAAAGTTTGATACATGTCTAGAATTCTGAAGTTGTGGCAAGCAAATCCTAAATCTTTGCTTTTTCCTTTAATTTTCTAACACTTTTTTAAAGAGCAATTTTAGGTTTACAGCAAAATTGAGAGAAGAGTATAGAGATAACCCATATATTAACTGCCCTCATACATGCATAGACTCCCCCATTATCAACATCCCCCACTAGAGCAGTACATTTGTTATAGTTAAACGTACATCATTATAACTCAGAGGCCACAGTTTGCAATAGGGCTCACTTTTGTTGAACATTCTATGGGTCTGGACAAATATATAATGACACATATCCACCATTATATATATATACAGGTGCTCCTTGACTTATGATATGATTATAAACCCATTATAAGTTGAAAAATCATTAAGTTGAACCATCTCTCTATATAGTTTCACTGCCCAAAAATTCCTCAATGCTCTGTCGGTTTACTTCTCCCTACTGCCTAGCCTCTGGCAACCACTAGTTTTTTTTTTTTTTACTATCTCTATCGTTTTGCCTTCTCCAGAGTGTCATATAGTTGGAATCATACAGTATTGGCTTCTTTCATTTAGTATTAGGCATTTAAGTTTCCTCCACATCTTTTCATGGCTTGATAGCTTATTTCTTTTTAGCCCTGAATAATATTTCTTTATTTTATTTTAAAGATGTGGGGTGCAGGTCTGCATTAGGTATACAAGTGGTCATGGTATGGGTAAATGTTGGACCTACTTTTGGTCCCCACTTTGCCTGGTTTGAGATCAGGTACCCTTATTAATGTTATGTGCTCCTCTTTCCTTCCCTGGCAGTTTCCAGCTACTGCCAATCCTTTTCTTATAGTATTATGGGACATGCTCAGGATACGCTTATGAGTGAGAACATATGGTACTCAGTTCTTTGTATCTGTGATAAATTACTGAGTATTATAGACTCTAA